GAGAAACAAGTTATAGAAGAAGTAGATATCGATACCCCATATTTTCAGTCAAATATATTTACTACACTCAAGAAGAACAGTTCAGCAAGGCTGATCATAGATTTAAAGAGACTAAATTCCTATATTTGTTTTATATACTTCAAGATAGAGACGATAGAAATAGTCAAATCTTTAATAAAGAAAAATGATTTCATAACTTCAATCGACATCCAGGATATATTTTATCACATACTATTATCATCATTAGTGCAACAATACTTTATATTCGATATTGGCAACCATCATTACCGATTTACTGTACTTCTATTTAAACTTATAAGCAGTCTCAGAATATTCACCAAAATGATAAAACCTCTTCTCGCATGGGTAAGAAACCTCAGGATCAGACTTTCTATCTACCTAGACGACACAGAACATACTCAAATTATACTTCGAATATTAGTGAAACTCAGCTTCAAGATCAACATGACCAAGTTCAACCTAGTTTCATCTCAACAGTTAGAGTTTCTAGATTTTGAAATCAACTAAAAAAAATGAGCCTGAGTTTACTAAAAAAGAAAGTCAACGATCTAAGAAGAGAATATTTAGCAGTAATGAAGAAACAAACAATATACATAAGAAAGTTAACCACAATAATTGGAAAGCTCTTAGCCACTATTGGTGCAATTCTTCTATCAAGATTAAAAACTCGATGGCTAATAAGAGACAAAAACCTAGCCTTGATGAAACGAGGTTGAAACACCCATCTGAAATTGTCGCCGCAGAGCATCTAACAACTAGACTAGTAGATCACAAACTTGGAGAATTGTAACAAAAAATGTCTAATTCTACCCAACCAACAACAACCATATGCACAGATGCATCACTTACCAGATGAGATGCGATAAAAAACTAGGAAGTGATCTTTGAAAACTGAACCAATGTACAAAGAAACTTTCATATAAACATTCTGAAATTAAAAGCAATCCATCATACACTATTAATGTTTAAGGATATTGAAGATCAAACAATCCTAATAAAGTCAGACAACACAACTGCTGTAGCTTATCTAAATCACCAAGGAGGCTCTGTGTCCTGAGAATTGAGCTTTCTTGCAGAGAACATCTAGAACCTCTGCCTGTCCAAAAAAATCATGATAGTTGCACAACACTTGCTGGGCAAATCGAATCTACAAGCAGACCAAGCTTCGAGGTACAATCTAAAACAACAGGACTGGTAACTAAACCCAGTAATATTCAACTACCTAGCCACGAAATAGAGACCGTTCAAAATCGATCTATTTGCAAGCAAAAAAAAACACTCAATTACCACAGTTTTTTGAGATTCCCAGACTCTCAAGCTTTCGCTACAGATGTACTGAATCAGGATTGGCTCAAAGAAACTCTATAAATGAATCTACTTTGGATACTCATTCCCAAGATACTATCCAAGACAATTATGTATCAAGCCATGCTATGCCTAATAGTTCCTAGTAGTGTTCTGAAGTTCAGTTCAGTTCAATTTAGGTTCAGGTTCAAGTTTAATTAAA